GTTTGAGAGAGGCGGGGCATAGAGGACCTACAATTACATACAGTATTTGAAAAATAATGTGTTTTTTGAACATTAAAGCATGTCAACATATTCTGTTACACCAAATACACAAAATAATGATCTTTAAAATAGCATCATATGACCCCTTTAAACAAGTAGACATCAAGTTTTGTCTTTTTATTCAACTTTTTACAGTAACACCAATCAGGTTTTTCAGCTCATTGTGCTTTATCATTCTTATGAAAAAATCATCACCGAGTCGTCTCGACTGTCACCTTATATCAGAATGTGGACACTGTGCCAACTTTCCCTGTCTTTATGTAATCTCTCTCTTATCACCCTCATTAGGAAACAGTGGGTTGAAAAGAGACAAAAAATGATAAGTTTTATCGAAACGGAATTCTTTTGTGTCCACCATAAAACACTTTCCATCACTTTAAGACTTTGTCAATAACAGAAACTTGCTGGAATTTAGTTTTAACATGTCGCATCAAACCCATTATGAAACTCACCCAGTTGCAAGAACACAGGCCTCATTTAGCGTTATTAAATTCCAAATGGAGAACTCGGATAAAAGCTGCACTGTTTATTTGAACAAATATGTAGGCCAAGGCCCTGTACAGACAGGTCAGTCAACACATAATAGATACATGAATTGAAGGAACTGCGGCACGTCAGCGATTGGCACATATAGAGTGGTGGTGCGATGATGGTGGTGTTTAGTGTCATTTTGAGAATAAAAGTGAATGTCCTGTAAGTCCTCGCCTCAACTCTGAGTTTAACAGCCTGTTTTCTTCAATTACCATTGCATAACACTTCATGCTTTTTGCAAGTCATTGTATACTAAGGCATCAGTTGGGTTGCTGATGTAATGAACACATTCAAAGACAAATATCCCTAAAAGGGCTCATTCTCTTCCTATTATAGAATTCAGAAATAATTCATTTACTTAACATTGTTCCAAAACCATTCTTTCATCCACGCAATTCAATGAAGATGCATCACGACATCGACGATGCTGAATTGCACTGGTCCTCTGCTTTTACAGTATGGAAGACAGCAGCTTGGACAAGCAAACATTGCAAAATATCTTCTTTTGTACTCAATGGGAGAAAGTTAATCATTGATAATGGAAAACAGACTGTACTTAACATAACATTACGTACATTTAGAACACAGAGTTTTCTCTGTTTGACAGCAGCGATGGGGAGATTGACATTGGCTGTGGTTCTTGATGTCAGAGATTGTTCATGCTCTCGCTTTACTCACAGACATAAATTGGATCTTTGTAGAACAGAGTTGGTTATGTGAGAACGTATCTGGAGAATCTCACTGCAGTGTCATGCGTGAAACCTGCGACATTCACTTTGGTCCTCACAAGAGTGAACTTGAAGGCCTTTATTGTTGTAAGTAACGTGCTCCTGAAACGGAAAATTAGATGAGCTATGAAGGGACGTGCCGTTTCGTATTCGACGATGCTGAATTGCACTGGTCCTCTGCTTTTACAGTATGGAAGACAGCAGCTTGGACAAGCAAACATTGCAAAATATCTTCTTTTGTACTCAATGGGAGAAAGTTAATCATTGATAATGGAAAACAGACTGTACTTAACATAACATTACGTACATTTAGAACACAGAGTTTTCTCTGTTTGACAGCAGCGATGGGGAGATTGACATTGGCTGTGGTTCTTGATGTCAGAGATTGTTCATGCTCTCGCTTTACTCACAGACATAAATTGGATCTTTGTAGAACAGAGTTGGTTATGTGAGAACGTATCTGGAGAATCTCACTGCAGTGTCATGCGTGAAACCTGCGACATTCACTTTGGTCCTCACAAGAGTGAACTTGAAGGCCTTTATTGTTGTAAGTAACGTGCTCCTCCTGAAACGGAAAATTAGATGAGCTATGTAGGGACGTGCCGTTTCGTATTATGTCAAATGAGTTAAAATGCAAAATGCAAACCTGTCCATGTCCTCCTGCATGTAAAAGAGATAAAGATAACTAGATAAAAAAGTTCGTCAAGACAAACTTTAAGTTGGCTTGAGAAAGCCGGACCAGAAAGTTAGAAAAAGTTTGAAAAGATTGATGGTTTTCCGTTTCAAGTTTCAAGTAGTTTTAAAAGCTTAAAGTTTGAATGTTTTGAAGGCAATACAGTCTGTCAGAGATGCAGCTGCTATAGAATACCCATGTGGTTGCTAAGGTCTAGCTATTCGGTTGCAAGGGTACTTGGGGTGGTTTTTAGAGCGGTTGCTAGGGTGTTGCTATGCGGTTGCTAGGGTACCCGGGGTGGTAACAAACCTAAAAAGACAGATTGAATGTATGTGATGCTATCTGACAGTGAATGTGGGATCTTTATGAAATCAATCCAAGATGGTTTTATTTATACAGAGCTTTAAAAAAATGTACATTGCTTCAAAGCTGCTTTACTGAAAAAATATTTCAGTATTAATATCTGAAATAGATATGTGCAATAACATACAGATAACGTGATGGCAGCTGTGAATGTGCTGATAAAGATATTGAGATAAGATAATAGGTGAATTATGTCTGAAAGGAACAGATAAGGTTCTCAATCATTGTTTTCTACCTGATAAATGCAATCAAAAAGGACAACAAACAAAAGCTCTTAAAATCAAGTTTTTGCTTGTATTGGAGACTCTTAACCCATTTATCAGGGGTCTCTGAGACAGGACTGGATATTTCAGTCTTACTTATGGACTTTGTGACTAAGATAGTCATAACATTCCTAAATCATAACATTAAAGCTTTCAGCTAAAGAATTTCTCATAATTTTGAACGGGAAAAAAAGTGGTCATTTACTCATCTCCATGTTGTTCCAAACCTATTTCTTCCACCGAACATAAAAGGAAATGTTTTGAAGAGTGCAGTTCTTCTGAAAAACAACAGCTGGCTGAAGAACTGCAAGAATCGTTGACTGATAATATTCCCCTCCAAGCTATTGCATTCTGAACATTTTGTACCTTCATTTTCCAACCCTTTGACCCTACCTCAGGTAAAAATGGGCGAAGGTCCATCTGACATCCAGTCATTCTGGTTCTACTTGACAAACCCTTGAAAATGTGGAGGTGAAAAGCACAAGACTCCTGAGATGCAACAAACATGGTACAACTCTTTACGTTGCATGTTTAGTTCAGCCAATCATCACCATTTGTTAGTTTGGAAATAAATATGGTTATATTGCTCATTTATTTATTTAGATTTCCCCCCAATTTGTGTAAAAGTGTGTAAATCTTTTAGTGTGAAAAAATTGTTATTTTATTAAATCAAGGTCAAATGCATTACATTTTGGGATACAGTAATCAGTGCAGTGTTCTGTATGTTCTAAGCATACTACAAATTTGCACTGTGCACTGTATACATATGGCAGAAATAGTAAGTGTGCTAATACAAACTTACATTCCCTAGTTGTCCCAACGCTCTTGAGTCTGCCCATACTGGAGATGAATTGTGCAGCACTGCCCTCTACTGGATATATTCATTCATAGATCATTGCTGAGCTTTTCAGTATAGGCAGAGGATTTGGAAAGCAAAGAAAATAAATCCAAATCAACCAGGTTAAAAAGTGAATTTAATATGCATTTGAAAGAAAATAATTCTTTAGGTGCTGATATTGTTTTTCAGTCATACAATGCATGCACAGTTATTAGCAAAATGCTGTTTAAAACAGTTTTAGATGAACGGATGCCATAGCATGTCACACTAAAGAACATGTGTGCTTCCCACAAGCATTAATGCCAAGTTGTCAAATACTCTAATGTCAGAAGACGACAGAATGCATGACAAAATATCACCCACTACTAAGAAAAGTCTTTAAAATTGAAGAAAAGAGACACCTACCAGTTAGAATGGTCTCTTTAATAACCACAGGAGGGCTCTAGAGCCAAGGGTTCCTAAGAGACCATGCATCTGATTGCAGGAATGGAAGAACACGATGGAGAATCCCTTGGCTGAACCATGAGGCCAGCTGTGAGTTACAGGAGTTAACACACTCAGAGCACTGATTACTCTAATAAAACTTCTCACGCTGATCACAAGCATTAATGCCAAGTTGTCAAATACTCTAATGTCAGAAGACGACAGAATGCATGACAAAATATCACCCACTACTAAGAAAAGTCTTTAAAATTGAAGAAAAGAGACACCTACCAGTTAGAATGGTCTCTTTAATAACCACAGGAGGGCTCTAGAGCCAAGGGTTCCTAAGAGACCATGCATCTGATTGCAGGAATGGAAGAACACGATGGAGAATCCCTTGGCTGAACCATGAGGCCAGCTGTGAGTTACAGGAGTTAACACACTCAGAGCACTGATTACTCTAATAAAACTTCTCACGCTGATTGTCCAAATAAAACTTCCCTCACTGGGAAGGCATAAACTTCACCGAGCGGCTCCCTTGGACAGAAAATGGGCACCACTATCCCAGACATAGTGGTAACGGTTTCCTCTCTTTCTTTGAATAAAAATTCTGAATGAAAGTCTCTGCACAGTGTGTGTGTGTGTGTGTGTGGACTGGACTACAAAAAGCACTGAAACTCATGAGGTATGAAAAAGTTGCAGCTAGACTGAACTGACAGAAAGGGTGTGATACTGAATTGAATATCAACAGCTCAAAAGGGGACACTTGAGAGAGAGAAACAGCGAGAGAGACGGAAGTTGAGTGGGAAAAAGAACACCATGTGCTCAGTAAACAAACTAAGTGTGATGCCAGAGAAAAGGGTCAACGAAACAGAAGAAAAAGTCTCTTCCGACAGAGCCGTCCAGCCAAAAAGAGTCCTGACCGACTTACTTCACCTCTGCTTTCTTTTTGTGCCCCATCCTGTTCTCTTCCATCCATCCTTTCTTCTCTTGTGTATCTACATCCTCTCATTTGCATCTTACATCCCTGAGTGACAGATTAACCTACCTTACTTTCCATATTATATTATTATTTTATTTTTTTAACTTTTTGATAGGCTATTATTTTATTGTTTTGCTTTTCAGTTTATTCAGATGCCATATTTAAGTTAGTCTACATAGTTTTACATCCCTAGATTTAATTCTCAAAACAATTAAAAACTTATCCAACCGAGTTCTTCCGGCTTAAGAAAACCGCGCGCTTTGGCAGGTGGGCGGGAAATCAAGATTAACGCGCGTGTGAAAAAGCCGCGCTCAAAAAGTCTCGGCACAAACCGGATTGTACCGCCGTCCGCGTTAAGATTTATGTGTCTGGTCCTTCTAGGGCACGCGGTAAATTTAACTTCCGCCACAACAAGCTTCGGTTTTACGTCGTCCAGCCTTCAGAAATAACCTTTAGAGTGTAAATAATTAAATTTACAGCTGGGTTAGTCCATATTTGACCCAAAGTTGGGTTGAAATAACCCAGCATTTTTTAGAGTGTACCCTAAAACCTTAAAATAATAATAAAAATAAATAAATAAATAAATAAAAATAATTTCTCTCTCCACCTTATACTTAAGTTAAAATATTCATCTTGTATCTTTTGTTGGTAATTTTTTAAATATATATATATATTTTGTTTGCTTATTTTACTTCCGCCACAACAAGCTTCGGTTTTACGTCGTCCAGCCTTCAGAAATAACCTTTAGAGTGTAAATAATTAAATTTAATTAGTTTTATATGATAGCCGCTTGTTAAATTTACGCCCGATAATTTAGATGCCAGCAACACCGATACCGTGAACAAGACTTTCCTAAACAGAAATTAAAACGCAGCATGAGCTTTTATGTGAAAGATAAAATTTTTTTTACTTATGTAATATAACTGTTGACTTTGGTATTGTGAAGTTAAAAAGACAAATTGCAGCAAATGCCACCAAAGTCAAATCAAGTCATAGGCCTTTTTGGGAATGAAAAGCTGAGAGGAAGTCATACAATCTGTTCAAAAGAACAACATTCAAGCATTCTGCTAATGCAACATTAATATATATATATATATATACACACACACACACACACACATACATATTCTACACAAACAAATACATAATCGTGACATTTTTTGGGGCGGCTGTGAAAATAAGACCTATAGCTTCGACCCTTTCACAACCCATTCAGCTTCTATTCTTTACAGACTCGTTTTTATTCGCGAAAAAAGAAAAGAAATAAATATGACATCTATAGGCTACACTCTAAAAAATAAATATATATATATTTTGTTTGCTTATTTTTTTTAAATTATTTTTAGTTGTTGTAGTATTAGTAGTAATTAATAACAGTGTTACATCACACGAATAGTAATCATAATTACGGTAATTATTTTTCTTCGTCCCCTTCAGCGCCTCTTTTCAAAGGGTTGCACCTGTTTTCTGCGCAGTTATTCAAGCGGACATGGATCGACCTCAAAGTCATGTCACTCTGAAAGTCGCAAAAAACTCCGCTCGGATAGAGAAAATAACGAGGGAAAATCGCCACAGAGCTAATTCAACATCCGAGGTCGTATTTATAAATAATGCATGTGTCCTCCGAACAACGGCAACATACAGTTTCTTCATTTCGACATATTTAAATCAAGCAGAAAAGTTTACAAAGGCTGAGGAGCGGAGGAGCTCAACAAGGGCTCTATTTACAGCCGGAGACACGGGGGGCGGGAGGAGGAGCGGAGGGCCGCTGAATTAATGAATTAAACAGTGCTGAGGCGCTGAAAGTACGCATTTCATCAACAATGAAAGGCAGGACTGAGACGAGAGGAGAAAGTTTTCAGATAGTGCTGCGAACAAAACTTTTTGAGGAGTTCCACTTAAGACGAGACAAGAGATAGAAAGAGAGTGAGGAGGATAGAGAGAGAGAGAGAGAGAGAGAGAGAGAAAGAGAGAGATAGAAAGGGCATTACATAATAAATCGGTAACATTCGACCGGCACTGACTGACACTTATTGCTTAGGACACAACTTGTTACTAGGATAGAACCGATTATAGCCTATATAGGTTATATATTTTTAACTTGACAGATTTTGTATATTTGCATATTTATTTAGGCTGGAGTTTTAAAATCGTATTGACTGTTTCAAATGTGTTTATTTTAATGATAAACATTATGAGACCGTGTCACTCTTCTGGCGCGGATGGTATCGGCAAAGTTGTCAGGAGCGCGCTACTCTCCGTTCTGAACGCTTTCACAACTTTCGCCTCAGATTATCCTCCGATGTGTCCCGAAACTGGAAAACAGCAGTGACTCTTGTGAATCACAAAACGAGAGAGCTCTGCGTTCAAGTCCTCTGTAAAAGGTAAGTGCTGAAGTAAACACATAGCCTAACATCTGTGCAGAAGTCACCTGTGAGGCCTAGAGGTCGATATGCTGCGATTGCGTTCATTTAAAACGAAGGAGATTAATGAAGAAACTAAACCATAAGAATGTCATTCATCTCTGCAGATTTGAATCCAGCAGCGTGTCTCATCCTTAAACGAGGCATGATGTAAGACATCAGGTGCATCTCAACAAGATGATTTAGGATGCAAAAACATATATCATTGTTAAATATTAGTACATAGAAATAAGTATTATAGTGAAAATAGGTTGTTCTGATGTGTAGCCTGCTGTTTGATTGCTCAAATGTCCTGTGGCATGTTTAATTTGTCATTTAATTAGTTAAAATGAATTAATAATGCACACGTTTAACTGTTCTTGCTTCAGTTTTATTCGAGTTCGTGTCACTCTCTTTCGAGTTTCAGTATGTTTAACATTATAATGCAAAATACAAACTGAAAAAGATTTGTTTGACAGTAAAATTGAACCGGCAAAAGCGATTTTTGTTTGTTTGATTGTTGTGTTTTGTTTGCCAAGCATTGGTTTTGGTCTTGCAAAATGCATTTGTGTGCAATAAATATCATGAACATTTATTACAGTTGTATTTCGATTTATAATCAGAACTTTTAGAACGTTTGTTTAAAGCTTTCAAATTCAATTTACAGTACAGTTCACTCTATTAAATAACACCACTTCTGTTTAATGCATGAGCTGTACAGAAATAATATTTACTGATGCAGAGATATAAAAGAGGAGGATTATCCGCTGCTATCAAAATAATTTCATAGACTCTGACTGAAACACAGCATCGCGTGGGCATTCTTTTCTTTTTCTTTTTTGTTCCTTTCAACTGATCTGATATGCTCCCCATTGCTCTTTCTGGCAAACATCAGACCTGGCAAAGTTTTTGGATTTTCTTTTGGGACTTTTCCCTTGCTTTCCCCCCCCTCGTTCATTGCAACCTGGTTATTTTGGAGATCTAAAGCCAGCCAATGAAATAACTGATCTGCCTAGATCAGATAACTGAGCAAAAGATTAATTAGAGGTTAATGTTGATCGGTTAAGCGGGTCGATTTGTTCGCAGCGTGATTTCCTGAGCACTTTAAAATAGAAAAGTCAAGTACGTTCACCTGCGACTGTGAGAATTGCATTGGATCTGGTGAATCGAGGAAAGTAAACGTTGCACATCCACAGAATACTGATGAGAGAGTTTTAATATCGGCTTGTTTTCTGTCCATCTCTGCATGTCATTCCTTCCTTTCTCTCTCTCTCTCGCTCTCTCTCTCTCTCTCTGTCTGTCTCTCTCTCTCTGTCTGTCTCTCTTACTCTCTCTCTCACACACACATGCAGTGTTGTATTTTTCAATGGTGGCTTTTGTCTCTTTCATCTCATCTCTAAACAAAAGGATTCTTGTGTATACAGGACAGCGAGTGAGAAAGAAAGACATCGAGGGAGGACAGAAAGTGAGAGAAAGAGTGAGAAAGAAGATGAAGACAATTTGTAAACTTTTGCAGTGAAGCAACATGGCTTCGTTTTGGACGCTCTCTGAGAACTCATGTGCATCAGTACAATAAGAGTCACAAGTTTGCATGCACCCCGTTATTCGTTATGACTGTTTTTCCACATTGCAGGATAATAATTAAGTCATAAAATAACACGCTGATAAATGGAAATGATGATAACTTTCCCTTTAAGTAGTGTTGGATTAGTTTGCATGTATTCTTAGACAAATATTCGTGTGTAGGCACAATGTAATTGTTGTCTCCAAAACTAATTTCATGCATTTCAAGCCTTTAAACCAAAGGTCTTTGAGAGCATGAGAAACATACATTGAGTCAAGTGCGTGTCAGCGTTTGTCTGCTGTATGTACTGTATCAGTGTGCACGCGTGTGGGCGCGTACTCGCCGGAGTTCGAAGGTCAGCTGTGTGTACAATCTGCTTATAACACGTGCCTCTGCGAGGAACCGTCCCCTCCCTCTCGGCTGGCGTTAGTATTCAGAGCACAGAGATCCAGACAGATACCTATTCATTCTCTCAGTGTGAGTCCAGAGAGAGAGAGCGAGGTCAGAGAGGGGAGAGCGTATCACATCTCCCTGCTACTCATTCATTTCATTTCATTTATTTTATTTGGTGCGGAAGGCAGAAGCTGAGTGAGACTAAACTTACCACTTAGACATTTAAACAAGAATGCAGAGAGGGAGAGAAGAGAGTGAGATTGAACAGTGTGAATGAATAGAGTCACCCTTGAAAGTGATTCCCTGTGTAACGTAGTTAAGATATTGGTTCTTAGTTATGTGTTCAAGTTGCTGCTTGTTTTAAAATTCACAAATGAGTCAATTGTTTGACATCCTAGAACAATTACATTAATGTGGATAGCGCCTCAGATCATTGATCCTGTAAGAATTGAATGAGTCAAATTAAATCAATACATATTGTTTCAAAGCAGCTTTACAGAAAATCATGATGGTAATGTTTATAATTTCTTAATATCACGTGTTTATAGTCACATTTATCAGATTAGAGCTGAGTGAAAATATATTTTACATTTTGCAACAATACAAGCAATCAAGAAGATTTGTTATATGGAGCACAAAACCAGTCAAAAAAGTCAATTTTTTTGAAATTGAGATTTGTGCATCATCTGAAAGCTGAATAAATAAGCTTTCCATTGATGTATGGTTTGTTAGGATAGGACAATATTTGGTCGAGATGCAACTATTTGAAAATCTGGAATCTGAGGGAGCAAAAAAATATATCCTAATGATTTTTGGCATAAAAGAAAAATCAATAATTCTGGCCCATGCAATGTATTGTTGGCTATTGCTACAAATATACCCCAGCGACTTAAGACTGCTTTTGTGCTCCAGGGTCACATATAGTATATATCGCTGTACAGGAGCATGAGAGCTGGGCGATAACATAGTTACATTTTGCAACACAATAAAGAAGGAATGTTTGAGCTCATATTGAGATTTTTTTTTATTAAAGACTTAGTATTTTGGCGAATTTGGCGAGTCAATGTTGAGATATCTTCAGATTACTGGCGATTTTTTTCTTAGGAGAAACACTTTTCTTCATTCTGGTCTCAATTTCTTTGAATCAGCTGGTGTTTTGGTGATTTTTAGTGGATGTACGAAGTCAGTTCTCCTCAGGTTCACAGAGGAACCACAGATGTAGAGAATCACAGTAACACTACATCTAGTCTTTCGTCATTTCAAACTGTACAAGCGCTTTCTTTTGACAAATGTTTTGCTTGAAATTTGTGTTTGTGCTATCTTTTGGTAAGAAAGAAGATATTTTGAAAACTTTTTTTTTTGCTTGCCCATATAGAAGTCAATGGTGTCTAAAGTTATTTGGTTCCCAGTGTTCTTCAAAATATCTTTTGTGTTCCACTGAAGAAAGTAATGTCCAGATGTTTTACTTCAAAAAGTGTGTTTATGTATTCTTATTCTTATGATAATTGCTATTTAGTTATCTGTAATGACATTCAGACAATTCATTCGTCTACGACATCAGACTATAAAACCATTATTGGTTCTTGAATAGAGTATGATTATGTAATGAAGTTTTATTCCAGGACCATTTTGGATAAACAATGTCAGAATAGTCAGTTTTATGAGCATGATCGCTGTACTTTTTCTAGCTAATGTGTGGTTTGCATACACAAAAAGTTTGATCTAAAGCTGTAGGGGAAGTGATTGAAAAAACTGTCCAAGAAGCATCTACGAAACAAAGTTTATAAAGGTGAAGGATTAAGAAGCGTCGTCCTCAGTGTAACAGAGGAATGCAGAGAATATGGAAAACATTGTGGTGTTCTTTTCATCTCTGATTCCTTCCTGCGGTTTTGTGTTTTTGGATGGTGAATAAGTTACCCTTTTCAGCGCTCACCCGGGCCAACCGAGCACGGCATGTGAGTTGGTCAGCGTTGACGACTAGCCTTTAAATGAGAAAGGGCAGCTGCTTCCACTGTGTGAATGAGGGGCATTTAATGTGCTTGGGCAGCTGGAGGGTCTGAATGTAGAGTCAAAAAAGAGTAACGGACCACCAGGGTCGCCCCCAAACCCGGCCCTGTACCCCTTCCTGGCACACACAAACCTCGAGAGAGAAGGATGCGCTCACGTGTCTGCGATAAAGATCGCTGAAAGCTATACTTTGCCCATTTCAGCTTTTAGAGAAGTCATTTTAAATACTGCTGAGAGTCGCTAATGTGTCCCTAATGTGGCTCTCTTTACTTGGACGATGCACGTCTTTCAGATAGAGCTCAGATAGAGATAGAGCCCTCTCTCTTCCCATGTGCTATTTCTTCTAAAATGCTACGAGACGACCTAGATTTTACAGACGGCGATAAGGTGACAGGTTTCTCACACAGAAGCTTAACTGCTGAATAGGTTATTTCATTAAAAATAACTTCTTTTTATGTCAGAGCAACAAGATACTGGTAGTTTCTGTAACCTAAGCTGTGTCATGTATGAGTCCCATCTGATAACATCCACTGCTGGCCAGAAAAAATAAAAAGAGGGAAATAAGTGGAATTATTGGCAAAATATAAATGGCAATGTGAAAACACAAAATGAGAGATCACAACATCATAGTTCAGTGCTGCTGCTGCAATTGTCACAGCAAAACCGGAACACTTAAACAAAAAGATGTCCAGGTTTCATGTTTCAGTGTTTTAGTAAATTCACCACTTAATTTTGAGTTAAAATATGTTGTTGTAACTTGCGTTACTGAGATTGTAACGAGTAATAATATTACCCAAATTTGATTAGTAATGCGTTATATTACTGCGTTACAGCAAAAAGTAATATACTACTGTAATATTATTACTTTTGTAATGCGTTACTCCCAACACTGGTCATAATTGAACATCAACCCAATTGCAGTCTGCATCTTGTCTATGTAGCAAACAGTCTAGTGTGCTGAAAGCTTTAGCAGTCTTTAATTAGAGTTTTGGATGAAGAAAGCCTTGTCACCTGTGCATTTTAGAAACTGCATTTGCTTGCACCAACACCAACAACTACATCAGTGGATGAGTTTTAATGCAGAAATGATTTAAGAAGCTCTTAGTTCAAAATCTCTGTTTGCAGATTTGACCTCAGAAATAGTGCAAATATTCATTGTTATCAATCAATATTAGCTAATTTGCAGAGTTTTATACTGAAGAGTCAAGACATGATATGTGTTATAAATAACTTTTTTTTTTAAATTTCCCATGACCTGTGTACATGCATGATTTAAACCAGGGGTAGCCAACCCTGCAACCCTGGAACTCAAGTCTGCAGGAAGGTAGAAGAAATTAGACTACTTATTTGAAACCATCTCTCTCTTCCCTCCTAGCTATGACCTCAGCCACGCCCCCTTCCTCCCGTAGCCCCTCCCCACAGAAGGTCTGCCACTCCCAGACACAGACAGACGTTCTAAAGCCACTCCTAGGCGGAGGAGGCGGGGCTTCAACAGGAAACGGACCTGCTGCATTGAGACGCCGTCGACGGGTGCTATCTAAAGATGGGAGGAGCAATGTACGCATCGAACACGTCAGCGGCCGAGGGACGCTTTACCTGCGTGACCTGTGGACGACCTTTCTGGACATGCAGTGGCGCTACAAGCTTTTCTTGTTTTCCGCCACCTTCGCTGGCACCTGGTTTGTCTTTGGAGTGCTGTGGTACTTGGTGGCACTTGTGCATGGAGATTTGCTAGGTGAGCAGGGAAGGAGATGTTCTTCAATAGGACCTGGATATTTATTTTCATAAATATCGCAACCCTGTTATTTCCATGTCTTTGTTTCTTGTCCTTTTCTCACCAGAGTTTGACCCTCCGTCCAACCACACGCCGTGTGTGATGCAGGTCCAAACCCTGACGGGAGCGTTCCTTTTCTCCCTGGAATCACAAACTACGATTGGTTATGGCTTTCGCTGCATCACTGAGGAATGCCCACTTGCTATCATCCTGCTTATTGTCCAGCTTGTCATCACCATGGTGATGGAGATCTTCATCACTGGAACCTTCCTTGCCAAGGTACAACTAAAACTAAATTAACTTGGGTAAAAAGTTGCTACAGCACGTAGCAAGTGTACAGTTACAATAATTATTATTTCTGGTTGTCTTAATATCTTCAATTTTGAAATGTTAAACTGTCATGTGTCATTTTGGCGGAAAACCTGACATGAGCCTGTTTATAAGCACTTCTCATTACAAGTTTGGGAAGAAGGCTGGCAAATGTTGACTTCCTAAATGTATAAGTGACCCAAACTCACAGCAAATACAGAGTCGGAGTTTGTGTGGAGCAGCATTTGCTGTGAACTGCTTGGTTCTGTGCTGCTCTGAGACACTGAAAACACTAGATGATCCATCGTGAGCTGTCCATGTGTAAAGGAACACAGTGCCGCGCTTCAGTGCATATTTTTATTCAAATAAATTGTAGCCTTTGCAAGTTGATATTCGTATTAAGTGGTATTTTAGTTTTATTTCGATTAAACATGCAGCTATACTGGAACTGGATTGAACTGGAACAATATCTGATTAAAAAAAATATTTTTGTGACTTTTGTGACAGTTCTCTCAGATCTAATAAGGCATCTATGTTTTCATCTGGGGTATGTAGGTAGCACGGCCGAAGAAACGTGGTGAGACGGTGAAGTTCAGTCAGCATGCTGTGGTCGCCAATCATGAGGGCCGACCTTGTCTCATGATCCGTGTCGCTAACATGCGTAAGAGCCTCCTTTTGGGCTGCCAGGTAAACACATCTGATGAAATAACATTACATTTTATATTCATTTCTAATGTAGCGTATGTGCAACTCAAAATATGTCCAATTCCTGTGGTTCCTCAGGTAACAGGTAAGCTTCTGCAGACGTCGCTGACTAAAGAGGGTGAGACGGTGCGTCTGGATCAGAGAAATGTAGCCTTCCAAGTGGACACGTCCAGTGACAGCCCCTTCCTCATCCTGCCCCTCACTTTCTACCATGTGATAGACGACAACAGCCCACTGCGGGCCTGGGCTGCCAAAGGTACAGAAGACTGGGAGAACTAAGAGGATAACTGGAACAATAAAATGTCATGTTGAAATGTTGGAATTCCAAAATGTAGCCGGAAAGCCTAAGCCTAGAATCGTCCCATTCGAAAAAATTTATTCATTACTTTCTACTGTAAGTCGAACTTGTATCATTGTTGCTCAACTGGAAGAGCATGGTGCTGGCTATGCCAAGGTCTTGGGTCAAGCATCTGCCAAATGGGTAAATGTAAAACAGAACAGGCACAGTGTCAGCTGGTGCAACCTTAGGTGTCTTGCTCTGTTGGCTCATGGATCATTCCTTTCGGTGAATGAACCAGCAACCATCTGGTTACCAGCCTTAAAGGGGTCATATGATGCGATTTCAATTTTTCCTTTCTCTTTGGAGTGTTACAAGCTCTTGGTGCATAAAGAAGATCTGTAAAGTTGCAAACACTAAAGTCTCAAAACCAAAGAGATATTCTTTATAAAAGTTAAGAGTTAACCACGCCTACCTAAAACGGCTCGTTCTAACACGCCCCCACATACCTACGTCACGATCTCGGAAGATTTGCATAACGCCGCCCAAACGTTCACGCAAAGAAAGAAGGCGTAACGTTTATTCTCACTGTAGTATTGTTGAAACTGCCGCCATGTCGTGGAGACGCTGTGTGTTTCGTTGTGAAAGCGAAACTACTTAG